ACCCTCAGAATAGCCGGCAAAGATATTGGAACCCTCCAACTATCATCAAAGAAACCTGGGAGTCTGAGGTGTACACGGTGAATGTCACAGGCTCGACACCTGAAGAAGAGAATCAATTTCTTCAGAGACACTCCAGGTGCAAGAGGTGGGCTACAGTCTGGTACATGCCCTCCATATTCGAGGCTAAATTGGAGGAACCGGACCCGGTGTGAAAACACCCCAGGGGAGGCTACAAGTAAAAGAACAAGCCTGCGTCTCTGAACTTAGACCTGCAGGGATGTAGTGATTGTAACAAGGTCAGCCGGGTGCGCCTCATAGAAGAGCTCCCTGATTGGGGCTATTAACCTGATCCAGTCAGGAAGCCCCGGCTGCCAGATATAAACAGGGGTGTGTGGCAGTTGGGCGTAGCTATGTGGCTGAATAACATAGTCTCAAACTTGAGGAGTGGCCACACAGTCAAGTCATAACATTCATGGTTATGGGCCTACTGTGGGAAAGTGGGACTAGTGTCGATAGTAATATTTTTACCCAGTGTGGAGGGGAGTGGGCAGGTCAGAGGATCTCCTTGTGGGTCTGCTCTGGGCCTGGCCAGGCTGGCTTTTAACAGGTCCAGGCAGTGGTCCTTGGAAGGGGTCGTCCGGCTGACTGCCTGCCCCTGTTCTGAGGTTATATTAGAGTCCAGGTGTCCTTGCAGAGGGAGCATGCGGGGTCCACCAACACTCTTGCTGCCTTTATGGAGAGGTGGGCATCCAGAGGATGGAGTGCTTTATTTCCCCCTCCAATTTTATTTTGATTTGATCTTTACCCTCCCCTTCACTTTTTCTTTCACATAAGTATTGCCTGTACCAGGCTTTGCTTGTCACTGCTTCCCTGGCCACATAGGTGCTTTTCCTGAAAAGAGAGAGGAGTATAAGCAGGAGTGTCAGAGGTTCTATTCTCTCTGAGAACTGGCTCTGAGGAAGCCAGACGGTCAAATATGAAGCATGTGTAAATAAGGGGTGACTTGGTGACGGGATACCGGCCTCTGCAAAGTTATTTCAGCATCCAGTATCTCTGTAGCCATTGCCTTTAAAACCCTAGGATGCAGGTCAATAGTTCTGGGAAATTGTCAACCTTTAGTTTCATTAATTTGCCTAGTACTTTTCCTCTAGTGATAGTAATTGTTTTCAACAATCCTCCCTTTTGCCTCTTGATTTTCTCCTATTCTTTCAGCACCAGATACACTTAGGCAGGGGCTAGTCTTTGAGATGTTGTGGAAAGATGTTTAGATTTTAAGTAGCATTTTTAAAAAGATAGTCAAAAGTCAGAGTGACAGCGTTGTGAATGATAAGATTTGGCCTTAGACGGTTTCTACAGAGATAGATAGAGTTGGTATTTAGGGAAACAATTCTGCGGCAGGGATTAAACAGTGGCTTCCATCTTCTAGGTCAAGCATAGGTCACTTGTTCGCACATCACTTCTCAGTCAGAAGGTTGTGGATTTAAGTTGTCCTTCAGAACTTGAGCAGAAAAGTCAAGACTGATATTCCAATACTGTAATGAGACACTGCTGAAGCGTTGAAGGTTTGATTTTTTGTTTGGATTAAATATCAAGCCCCCTTTGCTCTCTTGAATGGCTATAAAGGATCATATAGATCTATTTTGAAAGGAAGTTATCCCTGGTGTCCTGACTGATGTTTATCTCTTAATCAACACCACCAAAACAGACTATGTTCGCTATGCTGCTGTTTGTGGAAGCTTCATTTGTGCAAAATGGCAGTCATGTTTCCCACAATATTGAACACTTAAACAGAAGTACCTAACTGGTTGTAAATTTTGGGACATCTTGATCATACACAAAAGCCTTTCTTTTTCTCAATATTTAGTTGAAGGAAATTTCTGCTCCTCCAGTACTGAATGTCACAAGTTGTTTGATAATTTAGAGACAATAGAGGGGTCAAGAAGTGGTGGTGCGACACAATACGTGTAGCAATTGATGTTGTATTTTTTTAATGTTGCCAAGGGGAAGTATGTAGATGATAAACAGGAGGAAGACAATGAAAGTTCTTTGGGAGATGCCAAAAGTGTTGCAGCAGGAAGTCCTTGTTGAAAATTTTGAGTAGTTAGATATGAATGTAACAAAGTCAACACATTCCTACTCAGTTGGATGGCAGTGGAAAGGAGGATGACATGGATAACCATGTCAAAGGCTGCAGATGGGTTAAGGATATGTTAGAATAGTTTATCTTGTCACAATCGCATGGATATAATTTGTGACCTTGAGAAGAGCTGTTTTGATACTGTAGCAGGTGAGGGATTTAAGAAAGGAGTTCTGGGAAGATGGGCATAGTCTTCAGAAGTGAATGTACATTTGAGGACTTTCAAGAGGAATGGGGGGAAGTTGATGATAGGGTGTTGGTTTGCAAGGACAGATAGATCAAGGGTTGGTGTTTGGGGATAGCAGAACTTGAAAATCTAACAAAGGAAAGAGAATTGTTAAACAATATCAGCTAATATGAATGCCAGGAAAGAATGTTGTTTGATCAGCAGTTTAGGGCGAATAGGGTCAAGGAACCTGGGTCTCAAGGATAAGGTGAGCTTGGAGAGGGCATGAGAGAAGGTAGGAGAGAAAGTCAAGAAAGAAGCTAGATTATACCCAAGGTAGGACTGGAGAGAAATTTGAAGGAACTTTGGCCTGGTTGGCTAGTGCAATGGATATAAGTGCCAGAGGCAGTTTATTTTTAATTATCAAGAAGTCTACAAGGTTCTCACTTGTTGGAGGCAAAGGTGGAGGAGTCAGGGGAGAAGAATTTAAAAACAGTTTGCAGAAATGAAAAGGAGCTTGGGGTTATGTTTTTATCCCAGAGTGGTTCTGGAATTTTGAGTAATTTTTGTGAAAGAGAGCATGACCCAATATTGATTATATGTTCCTGCTGATCTTATGGTGGATCGTTAAACCAGTTATCCATTATTGTTTTCAAGTTTGTGTTTCAAGGCTGCAATAAGAGAACAGGGATGACAGCCATTTGAAAAAAAAATCCAGCATGAGAGCACAATGGTATTTATAGTATATGTTTGACTATTGCCAACCATGAACGGAGTCAGCTAAAACGGGTAAATTTCTGGTTGGCAGAGATAAGTTCTTGGGCCTCAACTGTTTACAATTTATATAAATGATTTGGATAAAGGCATCAGAAGTATGATTGAGAAAATATGAAATTGTCCATTTTGGCAGGAAGAATTAAACATAAGCATCTGGGTATCCTAATGCATAAATTGCAAAAGGTTAATATGCAGATACTTTAGAGATCCAGGTCACTGGTAATACAATATCTGGAACACCGTATAACGTTTGACGACTCATTTAAGGATGTAAATGCATTGGAAACAGCTCCGAGAACACCTATCAGACTCATAACAAGAACGGAGTGGGGTCAGGATGGGTCATTTTATTAAAATAAGGTTTAACTGGCTTGGTTTGTATCGGCTGGAGTTTAGAAGAACCGATTAGAATAGTGATTTAATTCAAGCATCCAAGATCCTGAAGGTTCTTCTCAGAGTGCATGTTGTAAGGATGTTTACTCTTGTTGGAGAATCTAGAACTAGGGCTCACCATTTAAAAATAAAGAGTGTCTAGTTAAGAAATGAGGTGTTTTTTTCTGAGTGTTGTAAGTCTTTGGAATTATTTTACTCAAAAGACAATTGATAGTATTAAGACAGAGGTAGATTGATTAATAATAATCAAAGAGGTGAAAAGTTAGAGTCACGGAGCTATACAGCACTGAAACAGTCCTTTCGGTCCAAGTCGTCCATGCCGATCAGATATCCTAAAGTGATCTAGTCCCATTTGCCAGCATTTAGCCCATATCCATCCATATCTTTTAAATGTTGCAATTGTACCTGCCTCCATCACTTCCTCTGGCAGCTTGTTCCGTACACACACCAGCCACTGCATAACGTTACTCTTCGTGTCCTTTTTAAAAATCTTTCCCCTCTCCCCTTAAATCTATGGCCTCTACATTTGGACTCCCCTACCCTGGAGAAAAGATCTTGGCTGTTCACCCTAGACACGCCCCTCGATTTTATAAACCCTATAAGACAATGCCTCGGCCTCCGACGCTCCAGGGAAAGTAGTCGCAGCCTATCTATCCTCTCCTTATAACCTTGACCCTCTAGTCTTGGTAACATTGTTGCAAATTTTTTTTGCACCTTTCAGTTTAATAACATCCCTCCTAAAGCAGAACAACCAGAATTGTATGCAGTACTCCAAACGTGGCCTAAACAACATCTTTTACAGCTGTAACATCCCAACTCCTGTACTCAGTGCTCTGACCGATGAAGGCAAGCATACCAGTGCCTTCTTCACCACCCTGTCTACCTGTGATGCCACCTTCATGGAACTATGTACCTGCACCCCTAGGTCTCTTTGTTTGACAACACACCCCAGGGCCCTACCATTAACTGTGTAAGTCCTGCCCCGGTTTGTCTTACCAAAGCACAACTTTGGCTTCGCCTTAGCTTTGGCAGATAAGGTTATCTCATGTCCCCTCTTTGGCCTCCTGATTTCCCTTTTAAGTGCACTCCTACACCCCTCTCTAGTCAAGGGATTCATTTGATCCCAGTTGTCTATACCGGACATATGCCTCCTTCTTTTTCTTGACCAGATCCTCACTATCTCCAGTCATCCAGTGTTACCTACTCCTTCTAAATACTGATTTGGAAGAAAGCATGTATTTCTGAAAACAGTAACTTCAAATTGATACCCATGGAAAAAATAGCTTAATCACTACTATTAATCAACTCTACAAATCAAAGATTTCAGACAGCAATGTGTACATTTTATAAAGCTAATGTTTGTGCCTTGTTAACTATAATGGTGAAAATCAATGACTGAAGACCACAGCTTCCAATACCTGACAATGTCTGGTCCTCATTAATACAAGTTGCTAATGAAGAAGGGACCTGCAATGATCTATGTATGGGCTGTGTAGTACAAGGCAATGCACAATCATAAAATTCAGCTTTATGGAACCACATGTTTTATTTCCTCAATGATGACCAGAATGCAGACGTGTACAGTGACGGAAGGAAGGAAGGAAGGAAGGAATGAAGGAATTGATACAAACACAGTTCAAAGACTTGACACATTAAAGTCAGAGTGGTGTGTTCATTGATCATTGCAATGTTCAGCATCATTTGCTTTTTTGCAGATACGGAAGTAGTCCATGTCCACATGTAGCAAGACCTAAAGAACACAAGTTGATAAGTGACAGAAACATTGACACCATTCAGTTTCCATCTCCAACTCCAACAAGGGAGAACTTAACTACCTCCTCTTGACATTTAACAGCATCAGCATCACTGAATCCTGCAATGCCACCCTAGAGATTACCATTGATCTGAAAAGTAACCACTACGCACAAATACTGTGACAACAGCAGATGTGGGAAGTCTATAGCAAGTAATTTCCTCATTTCCAAAGCCGGCCGACCAACAAGGGACAATTCAGGAGTTTAGATGAGTGCAGTTCCAACACTCCAGAAACTCTTCACCATCCAAGACAAAGCAGTGACTGACAACCCATCACCACTTTAAACATTTGAAATTGAAATGGTTAAGTTATCAGAGGAACAGAGGCTGGTCGCTCATTAGAGAGAAATGACTGGTGGAGAGTTTAACCAGAGGGTTACCACAGCACAGGCATTGAACCCTTGTTGTTGGCATCACTCTGTGTAACAAACCAGCCAACTCAGTTAACTGACCCCACCAAACATTGACTTTACCAAAGCATAGTGGCAGCAGTGTATACCATATACAATATGCACTGCAGAAACTCACTAAGTTTCCTTTGATAGCACCTTCCAAACCCACATAAAAGAACAGGGCAGCAGACACATGGGAACACTACTAACTACAAGCTCCCCTCTAAGCCATACCTTTCTGAATTGGAACTATAATTGACAATCCTTTTTGTCGTTGGGTCAAAATCCCAGAACTGCATCTCCATGAGACGGACTGCAGTAGTTAAAGGCAGCAAATCACCCCATCTTCTCCAAAACAATTAGATGAACAATGAATGCTGACCTTGGGAAGGATGCACTGCTCACATCTCACCAAAAAAATAATAAAATGAGTACTTGTTAAGTGGAACTGACCCATTTATAGCCAGTTGTTTGCTAGCTTAGCCTACGTAAACAAATCAAATATATACGCCCAGTGAAGATCTAAGATAGTATAGCTCATTGCTCCATATCGTTTGGAACACAGAAATGTGATCAGATCACAGCTAGTATGGACTAGATGTGATTAAAAGAACACGGAAGATGTGGCCACATGTTTACATTTCACAGTCCCTGAATGAATCCAGGAACCTAAGAGAAACAGCACATGTCTAAAGAATGAACTAATCTGTCATGAATCATTTATAGTCAATGCAATGTGATTTCTAGCATAAGACTTAATAGATATATCATTTGTATTACTTATTTCCTTCCTAAAAAGGTAAACAGTTTGATATTGAAACGCTCTACTAGGGAAAACAATGAACCACACTGCACTGGTGATGATTATCAGTTCTGGAACCTCATCTCTTTGAATCATAACTCATTCTACTAGTTCTTTATACTGTGAATATTAACTTACTTTACAACATACAGTTTAGTATTTCTTACAAATTTCAGCACATCTGGCATGACTATTTTAAAATAAAACATTTTGAGAAAGTATATTAGAATTGTATTTTACAAAACAGACTTAATAGAATCAGTATCTATAAATATAAAACCTATACAGTGAATCTGTGTTGAAGTAAACTGGTTTGAAAATGGTCCCATAATAAATATCAGGTTGATTCTAGAATCAAGTCAGAAGAACCCTGATAGACTATACACAACACCTTGCATTGTGCTTACTGACAAAATCAAGTGAAATATATTTGGTGTGTCTTGAATTGCAAATTACGGCTTGATTAACTACAAACTAATTCTAAGTTAGAAACTTCAGCACATCACTCCTGCTACAAGTTTAATTTCTAATTTCACATTTCATATAGTCAATTTGACACCATGAGGATAAAATTAACATTATACACAAAAGCAGCACTAGGTTTAGAGGGGAAAAAAGTGTGGTGAATAATGGCTACTGTAAGTGACATTTTAATTCACATCTAAATGCACATTACTTCAGGCTCTTTCTGGAAACAGTTGAAGAAAGGAAGAGAGATTTTTTCAAGTAACGCATACAAAGTTAACAAAGGCAATTATGCTGATTACAGTTAAAGTTCTTCCTTTATATTGGCTGTTCTCTTGCAGTCACAGAAAGATTCATTATCAGTTGGCTGAAGAACATGCTCCATTCCCTTGCGGATTTCAGGCTGAGAAGTCTGCCGTTTTGCATACTCCTAAACAGTAGAAAGGAAAAGTAATCTAAATTAGAGGATTGCCACTAGTTTAACAGTTGTAATGATAACATTGTGTTGTAGACAGATTAGTAACTTTCTATTGGCAAGCAGAGACAAGATATACAAATATGTTAGGTGTTCCAAATCAGGTTCAATATTGTGCTACTCTAAACAAAGGGGTTTATTATGTGCAGAAAAATAACTTACCACATTACAATCACTAAATTTGACAGAAATTGAAATTCCTGATCCCACTGTTGACAAAATGACAACTTTTGATGTGCTAGAGTAGTGTTGATCAATCTGATATATCCACCTTTTGCAGTATATCAGACAAGACATCAGAGAATAGCACAAGAGAATATGAAATGGCATTAGCTAACACTTTCAAACAACGATCTGAATGTTTAGCAGTCTGCAAAGAACACAGAATCATATTAAAAACAGCATTTAGTGACAACGTAACTAACTACTCTCTCCACTTCCTAATGCTTACACAAAATAAAAACTGGAAACACTTGATTCAAAACTTTACTGAAAACAATTGGGAATAACTGCTTCATTATCAGGTTAAACTCATTAAATTAAATGCGTTGTCTTTTCTTTTCCTATTGCATCAAGAGAATCTCAGAAACAATAGTTACGCCATCGCAATGATCTAAAAGTTCAGTCCATGCAAATAAAAAATGATTTTTCATTAATAATCTATCATTCTCTTCTCAATATTATAGCCCATTTGACGGCCATTGGACAAAGAACATTTCATCTTCTGCTAAATGTTAGAGCAGGATTTAGAGCTCAAAACAAGATCCTAAAGAAATCCAGACTTTGAAATGTAAATACTGGAACAAAAACACAAAATTACCTAAATCATTCAGCAGATTATTTGTAATATCATTCAGTTACGATGCAGGATTCACAACTGAAGCATAAGCATATCTATTTTCTCTGCAGATATGACCTTACTGCTGAGTGTTACCTGCAATTTATGTTTTTGTTTCAGCTTTCCAGCATATCTAGTTTCTGTTTGACCCTGATTTAGGAAATCAGAGTTTATGATCCAAAGAAAACTTCTGTAGCACAGAAATTATTGCTGTGATGACTTATCTTTTTTGTATCATCCATGGCTCAGTTGGTAACAGTCTTACCTCCGAATCAGAAGGTTCCACTCCAGAAATACAAGCAGAAAAATCTAGGCTGATGCTCCAGTGCATTATCAAGGGAGTGCTGTGCTCTCAGGGGTGTCACTTTTGGATGAAATGCTAAATGGATGTCCAGTCTGCTCTCTCATGGCGTAAAATATTCAATGGCAAGGGAGTTCTCCCCACTGTCCCAGTTAATATTTTCACTCAATTGACACGGAAACAGATTCCCTGGTCATTATCACAGCACTGTTTGAGGGGCCTATGAATACAAATTTCTTCCTACATTACAACTTCATAAGGTGGCCCATTATCTTTTATAATCTTCAGAAATTACAAAGTCAGAGTCATACAGTAATACAGCATGGAAACAGGCCCTTCAGCCCAAACTGGTCCATGCTGACCATTCAGCTAGCTCCAATTGCCCACATTTGGTCCATATCCCCCTAAACCCTTCTCATCCATGTACCTATACAAATGTTTATTAAACGTTGCTATTGAACCTGCCTCAACCACTTTCGCTGGCAGCCCATTCCATATACACACCATTCTCTGCATGAAGAAGTTGCCCCTCAGGTCCTTCCTAAATCTTTCCCCTCTCACCTTAAACCTATGCCTTCTCGTTTTCAATTCCCCATCCCTGGGAAAAATGACTATATGCATTCATCCTATCAATGCCCCTCGTGATTTTATACACCTCCGTAAGGTCACCCCTCATTCCCCTACGGTCCAAGGAATAAAGTCCTATCTTGGCCAACCTCTCCCTCTAACGCAGGCCTATTACTCCTGGCAACATCCTCGTAAACCTTCTTTGCAGTTTATATTTATTATTAAATTCTCCAGTTTAGCTATGACTTTCCTATAACAGGGTGACCAAAACTGTACACAATACTCCAAGTGCGGACTCACCAATGACTTATACAACTGTAACATAACATCCTAACTCCTATACTCAATGCCTTGACCGATAAAGGCCAGCGAGCCAAATGCCTTCTTCACCAACCTGTCCACCTGTGACACCACTTTCAATGAACTATGTACTTGTACTCCTAGGTCCCTCTGTTCCACAACACTTCTCAGGACCTTACTATTTACTATTTAAGTCCTACCTTGGCTTGTCTTCCCAAAATGCAACACCTCACACTTATCTGTATTGAATTGCATTTGCCAATCCACAGCCCACTTCCCCATCTGATCAAGATCCCTCTGTCATTTTTGATAACCTTCTTCGCTAACAATGATACCTCCTAATTTTGTATCATCTGCAAAATTACTAATCATCTTGTATAAATGCAAGTCTTTTTCCAATTTATATTCAATCTATTAGTTTTATCCATTCTTTTTGTTTTATCACCTGGGAGAAGAGGTTTTTCAGAAGGAAAAATCAATGAACACCACATTTTAGTAATCAAACCAAACCAATAGCCAATGGCTCATATTTCTGTGGAAATGTAAACCATGAGAATTAATGTTATTTTGTTTAGACCCGATTTTCATCAAGGGTATATTTGGTACAAAAGTATTCGTTAGTAACAAAGAACTTGCCCATTCTTTATCCACAATAACCATTATCACATTGTCATCTCTTTCTCTGCAGAGAGACTGATGTCTCTTGGCCCCTGGGCCCATTGAATATTAAGACATGCCACAATGAGGCAATTTCACACCACTCCAGAGATTGTCTCCACCCATTACCACTAAACAACCAAATCAGACAATTCAGAAGTTATTAGGATATAAAAATTGCTATGATTTAAAAGATAAACCTCAGGTCTTTAATTCTTGTACAGAAATTGAGAATATAGAACTACAGTTCCAATCAAAAAATATCTAAAGGACTCTGATTTTCTCACGTGAATTTTATCCCAGTAAATCCACATGACTACTTTACTGACAAGATTAAGGGTGTATACAGGTTGCACGTAGGAATCTAAAGTTTCTGAACATTAGAAAATGACAAAAAAGTCCTTTTAAGGAATTACCAAGGATCCATCCATAATGAGTAGTTTTATCCCTAAAGTTTCATTCTATTTGTGTTATCATCCACTCACCTGGATGAATCATAGTACATACCACATCCTAGATTATTCAGTATAAAACTGTCTTACAGAATTATATAATCTAATAAATAGATCTATTAAGTCTCTCAAACCTGTAATACTAAGTAATAGTAACAATAAAGACTTGAAGGTTGCAGGAGCTCTCTAGCTAGAGCTTGTCCTGATCTGGCAATTTTCTGTGCTTCAGCATCATTATCCTAAGAGAAGATCAATAAATGAAAGAAATTTTAGCAAGAGGTTCACAGCTTTCCATTCACAAATGTTTGTTAGCCATTGCAATGTTACAAATATAAAACAAGGTTCACCCTTTGATGAGTACTTTGTACAGGGTTCATATCTTTTTCAAAACAACGTTTTCGATTTTGGAGAGGCGTTAGTAAGGTGGTACTGGATTCATAATTAGTCACTGGGCTAGTAATCCAAAGACTCAGGCTAATGTTCTGGGGATTTGGCTTTGAATTCCACCATGGCTGATAGTTAAATTGGAATTCAGAAAAATCTAGAATTAAAAGCTAGTGTAATGGTGAAAAATACAATCATTGTCAATTGTCATAAAAAAAAAGCATCTGATTCACTCATGTCCTTTTGAGAAATAAATCCTTATCTCGTCTGGCCTACATGTGACTCCAAACCAACAGCAATGTGATTGGCTCTCTATGACATCTCAGGGGGCTGATAAGAACCAAATAGCTCAAGGACAATTAGAGGTGGCAACAAGTGCTGGCTTTGTTAGTGACACCCACACAAAAGAAAAACTACCTTGTGTTCTTCCATGCTGCAGGCATTCTAAATAATTTTCTACTATCATGCATTTTCAAAATTTACTACATTTTAAAAGGTGGAAAGTAAAAGATTTACAAAATGTTTCAACTACTCCATGAACACAATGGCACATTAATATACAAATCAAATTATCCCATATTCCAAGCAACAAATGTAATAGAAAATTAAGTTGCATCAAAATGCCAATCTGCTTTACTCTCTTGTGGCTTAGATTAGTGTATTTGTTGCAAATTTCCTTTTACATCAAATAAATAAATAAACCTATTCGGGTAATAATTATGTTAAAGTCTGGCCAATATGACAGAATGATATAGCGATGTCCTGATATATGGCCAACTTGCAGCTGGTCTCAATAAAACTTTGTATCCCTGGACGAAACTCTACAATGTGATTATATTAGCAGACAATGGTCTTAATAACTTACAATAACTCAAGCCATTGTTACAATATTAATACGTAAGTTTGTTAAACTTAATTTGCCTTTAAAACGGCAACTTCCTTGTCAAGAACACTTTAAAAAATCATTTTGTATAAATTTGCTTACGTTTAAGTTATGTTATAATCAGTTTCAGAACAGACGTACATGTTTCGCAGTTACATTCGATTATACGTCACATTCGGTCACATCAATAAATACTCATTTGTGCTCTTTTCTCACCACTACATATGTACAGTTTTTAAAAAAAAAATAACAGAAGTTGATTATTATGTACTAATCACTATGTAGAAACAGAATCCTGGCTATTCACTCTCTATCCAGACTATGAGTTTGTAGCACCCATACTACATGGGGAGAGACTTCTTTTCTTCATGATTGTTTGACCCTAAGGCAGGTCCTTGACCTTGTCTGCTGATACTTCATCCTAAGCTGTTTTTCTTGGCAGTTTTTATTAGTCAATGGTCATTTGCCATTGTCTTTCACTGAGAGGCAAGACAGGGATGTAGCCCCAGGTCTACCTCAGCTGCAAGAGGAGATGAGCTTGTACTTTGACACTAATCTAAGCCACACACTCGTCATCTAGTGATACGTGCAAACTGGCTGCCACAGAGAGACTAACCCAGCATGATCGGAATCTAAGCAAGACCTTCCCAAATCTTTGTTTAGTGACACACACCACATTTATTCAGAATCTTTTGAGGAAATTCTAAATATTTAATTTTAATAACATTGTAATTCACTCACTTACCTTCACCCACTTAATCTTCTCAATAACATCACTCATATTTCTCTTCAGTGGAACATAATGTTTCCATGGCTTCAGAGATGTGTAGAAATGCTCATAATATTTAGAATCCTGCTTCAACACAAGGCTGTCACCCAACATAAGGTACGGGAACCTGTAAGCTGCCACAGTACCATCCACATTCACTTGGTATTTATACTGGAAAAATGTTCAGAAACACATCTCATCTCAATTTAAAAAAAGGTTCACTTGAATATTTAAAAAATGCATCGACAAAAACCTTGTAAAAATGGTATTTTTTTCAATAGTAATTGTAATGTCGAGGATTTACCTTAAAATATACATAAAATTAATTTCAATAATTAAAAAATTACTTAGTATGATGAAAATATAGTTAATCTGATGTAATATTTTGAAGTTTGTTCTCTGCTGACATTTTGTAAGTTAGATTCACAACAGAAAACAAAACATGTTAATACAAAAACATGAATAATCATTTTTAATGTAAGTCAAGTTAATCAAACATATACAAGAAATACAAATTGTAGGTGTTGCTGCTGAGTTTAAACACACTGGCTTCACCCGAATGAGAGATTCTGCTTCACATTTGAAAAAGAAAGTTTGAGGAAATAAGACCAGAATCTAACTCAGCATTGTTGCACTTGTTTTCCAGGTGTGAAACAGACTCAGCAACAAGCCACTTAGCAACTAGACACTTGCACATTAACTGCTGGAACATTTGGTTTGATGCTGAACTTTTGAAAAGGTGGTCTTTAATGTTAAAATGAAGGCTTCATTTTTGAACCAGATATCTAAACTCATTTAAAATAAATGAGTCTTATTTCTGGGTAACATCTATCTAGTAATCCCTCAAAGGGCTGCTGCATGCCAGTTAAAACTGAAGACTCATATGTGTAGTATTGTTTTTGTCAATGGAAGGAGCAGGAAGGCTTCCAGCGGCTACACAAAACAACTTGGACTGCTACTAGCCTACCCAAATCGAATTACCTTCCTCCTCTCTCTCATGGGGCCTAACTGTAGGCATGAGCTCTGGACAAAATTGGTTAGCTTGTTACAGCTCATCAGAATGATAAAATCCAAGGATAAATATTGGATGATCCTTAGGCCTCTCTGTTCTGGTGTATGATTATGGTGTTCCAATAGAATTGTGCTCAGTTTCAGATGTTCCAAATCTTGAAAGGCTGTCAAAATTCCTTAACTCAATTTTTTTTTAAATGTAGAAAAGGTGAACATTGGTGTCATTGCATGACTACAACTAGGACAATATCTGGTTGCAGTGGAGGTAGGAATAAAAGGCAAGGGATAACCTACACATCAAATTGCCTTCCTTGATGCAATATAATTGTCAACTATGTCTGGCGCCCTCAGTGTTAAATACTTCAGCCTCACAACATTCCCTGTGATATGAATTGCTAGGCTAGCAATTTCTATAAGTAACGTTAGTATTTAACATTTTTTAAAAAGAAAAATCACCCAGTCAATCCACTACCTTTGATTGTATCTGTACCAACAGGTTTAGAGACCGAGAAATGACCATCTTTCCAGCTCAGACCTATCTATACCAACATGAATGACAGGAGGAATTCAACAGGGTGAGGGAAATTGAAGGAGTCCATCTGCACATGCAACTGTGTGCTAATACTCCAAACAGCAACCTAAATAATACTGCATTTTACAACAAAATTTTAAAAGAAAAAAAACATAATTTTAAAATATTGCTTCATTTACCCAGCAAATCATACCTTAAAGAAGTCAAAGAAACTGATCAGTTGTGCTTTTCCAAGTTCTTTTTCTTCTTCACGAAAGAAGAAATAGGCAGTTATTCCAGCATCCAAAAGGTCAGGATTCTTTTTGGAGATCCTCACTAGTTTCAACCTCTCTTCTCGACTGTCCCTGCCTCTCCAAAAAGCTTGCTCTGTTTTATTGACCCAGGCAGGACCTTGTATTTTGCAAAACAAACATAATCGGAGTAATTTTAAATATACTGTCATCAGTTCTTAATATTTCAACTTTCTCTTCTGGTTCCCATCTAAGCCAATATTGTAACAGTTCTCTCTCAAGGTGTTATTCCTACTTAGAGTCATAGAGTCATACAGCACGGAAACAGACCCTCAATCCAACTACTCCGTGCCGACCATAATCCCAAACTAAACTAGTCCCACCTGCCTACAGTTGGCCCATATCCCTCCAAACATTTCTTATTCATGTACTTATTCAAACTTTGAACATTATAACTGTACCCACATCCACCACTTCCTCTGGAACTTCATTTCACACGTGAACCACACTCTGTTGCCCCTCATTTCTTATTAAAATCTTTCTCCTCTCACCTTAAAAATATGCCCCTTAGTCTTGAAATACCCCATCCTAGGGGAAAGCCACTTGCCATTCACCTTATCTACGCCCCTCATGATTTTATAAGCCTTTATAAAGTCACCCCTCAACCTCCTACACTCCAGGGAAAAAAGTTGCAGCCTACCCAGCTTCTCCTTATATCTCAAACCCTTCATTCCCAGCAACATCCTGGTAAATCTCTTCTGAACTTTCTTCAGTTTAATACCACCCTTCCTATAACAGGGTGACCAGAATTGGACACAGTACTCCAGAAGAAGCCTCACCAACATCATGTACATCATCAACGTGACATCCCAACTCCTCTCCTCAAAGGTCTGAGCAACAAAGGCAGCAAGCTAAATGCTTTCTTAACCACCCTGTCTACATGTGATGCAAACTTCAAAGAATTACATATATCAGCCCCAAGGTCTCTCTGTTCTACAACACTACCCAAGGTCAACTGTATAATTCCTGCCCTTGTTTGTTTTACCAAAATGCAATACCTCACATTTATCCAAATTAAACTCCATCTGCCGTTTCTTAGTCCATTGACCCAATTGATCAAGACCTCTTTGTAATCTAAGCTAACCTTCCTCACTGTCCGCTATACCACCAGTTTTGGTGTTATCCACAAACTTACTAACCATGTCTTCTATATTCTCATGTAAATCATTTATATAAATGACAAACAAAAGCGGACCCACCATCGATCCTTGTGGAACACTAATGATCACAGGCCTCCAGTCCGAAAAACAACCCTCCACCATCAGTCTCTGTCTCCATTCTCTGTCTGTATGTGACATCCAGTACTGAATAAGCAGAAATTACCTATAATGCGATATTGGGAAAACTGAAGCCGTAGGTCTCCTGTCCCCATTCTAAATTGTTCCCTAGCTATCAAGTCAGTCATTGTCTTTCTTTGGCAATAGTCCAAGATTAAAATAACCATTTCACAATATAGGCACCAGATGTGACTCCAAGAATGATCTTCCACCTAAATATTTCTGCCATTGTTACAACCATTTCTTCTTTCCTCTGTTGCATCTTGTGAATATGAATGTACCTCAGCTCAGCAGCTGCTGTAACCCTCATTAATGCCCTAGATTCAAATATTCCAAAGCTCTCCCAGCTAGCATCCCACATTCTACATTCAAACCTTTCCATGACCTTGACCCTTCCCAGCTCAGTTATCACCCTGTGTCCTATAACCCAGTCAGACATCCACACTCATCAGACCTTTTGAATATCCTTAACTGTAATTGGTCTGACAACAGTGGCTATACTTTTAGTTGCCTTACCCCAAAGTCAGGAATTCCTTACTTACACACCTTTGCTTCATTAAAGATATTCCTTACAGCCTACCTCTTTAACCAAGTTATCTGACCCAATATCTCTATATGCAGCTCGGTGTCATGTTTTGTTTCACAGTGCTCTTATAAAGCACCATGGAACTTGTATTTATATATCATTTTTAACCTAATGACAAGTTGTTATTTTTGTTGCCCTCCAAAAGTAAGTCAGGATTTACATCACCCACCTAATAAATTTACATGGAATAAGTTCCCATTATGCCAGGATTAGGAGGGATGACCAAGAATTTGATTGAAGACATGTATTCTGAACAGGTTTTCAGGATGGATAGGGATTCGGAAACCAGACAGGCAGGGGAGTTTGTGGAAATAATCCCAAAAGAGTTGAGAAACCACTGCCAGTTAAAATGGATGATGAGGAATAGTGTATTTTAGTTACAGTCACAAAGGATGCCATTTGCAATTTTGATAAAGGTCTTTTCAATGCTGAGGCAGCTACAGATTAATGACATTCAAACAGGCAATTAGAAAAGATGAGCTTGGATTTGGGATATTGGAAACTATCTTGTTTCTTAGGAATACCAAGAAAATGAAGCATACGGGAATGGGAAAACAAGAAGGCCACTTAGAAACAAAATGTTTGGGAAATACGTAGTGACGAATTAGAAAATTTAATAGAATATTGTGGAGAATTGAATACAAAAGTTGTGAGGTGATACTTTAGGAATATAGGACACTGGTAAGAACACATCTGATGTACTGTATTGGACCCTTTTGTTGAAAGAGGGATGTAAATTAATTGGAAGCAGGTCAAAGAAGGATTGCTAAAGTAATACTTGGAATGAACAAGTTGTCTTACATGGAAAGATTGGACAGCCAAGGCTTGTATCCACTGGAGTTTAAAGGAATAAGAAATGACTTCACTGAAAATCCTGAGCAGTCTTGTCAGGGTGTGCGTATGTGAAAAGGATATTTCTTCTTATCAGAGAATCTAAGGTTAGAGGTCACTGTTTAAAAATAAACGGTCAACCAACTAAGAGACAATGAGGATAGTTTATTTTCTCTTAGAGGATGGTGAGTTTTTTGGAATTGTCTTCCTCAAACCTGGAGAAAACCTTGTGTTTAATTTTTTTAAAATTCAGGATAGATAGATTCTTCACAAGCAAAGGGAGTGAAAGTTAATCAAAGTGGGCAGGAATGTGGAGTAAACATATCAGCCACAATTTTAATCAGTGTTGGAGCAGTCTTTAGGGGCAAAATGGTCTACTCCGTTCCTTGTTCATACATATGCCCCTGTACGCAAACTTTAAAATTTATAATAAAGTAAACTGCTGCTATAGTATATGTTGTGTCAATGAATTAATCACGAACTTGTATGAGCTTACAAGTAACCAGAAAAAGAACCTACCAGTTTGTCCTTGAATGGAGAGGAGGTCATTTGTCACACCACGTAGCGTTTCTAATGTAGAGCGTGTTATGTCATATGTCGGAAGGACAATATCCGCAGTATCCTCAGAGCCACACCAAGAAATGATGGGCAACGGATTATCCTTCATTTGACGAGTTTCCAGTGGCCAATCGCCTACATTTACATAGAATTCAACGTCAGGCAATCGAACCTAAGCAAAGTACATACAAAAAGACTCCTTATTTAATTTGGTTTCTTCTTTGAAAACAGATTATGTTACAAAAAAAAAATCAGGAATTAATTTTATGGAAACCTACTTTCCTGGCTAAAGAAAGCAGCATTTCATCTGAAAACATTTTGAAGTCAGTGTACCGTCCCATAGTTCGTCGATAAATCTGGTTATCCAATATGGTGTAATGAACAATTCCTCGATCACCAAATCTGTTTGGTACTTCTTCTAGGAGGAGCGAGAGGTCTATACTGGGAAAATTAACGAAGTCACTAGAAATCTGTTCCTCTTCTGCAGGGCACGATACAGTATCTTTCCATATCTGGGGCTCCACTTCTGGACAGTAACAGTATTCATGATAAACTGGGCCTGATAACAGAAGCAGAAGTACAACATATTATTGTTATATGAAATTGCACATTAACTTTGTAATAATCATCACTACCAAAAATGACTGTCCAGTCTTTTTCTATGTCGATTGCTGACATTTATTTTTGTAGGAGACACTGCTTTTGCTTTGAAGACAAAAATGAGGAGTTTTTTCTCCTAATTAATGTATGGAATTCTGTCCTACAGAAAATAATCAAATCTGGGTCACTGAATTAATTCAGGGCTGAGTTAGATAACCTTTTGATAGACAGGGAGTCAAGGGTCATGGAAGAAGGCAGGATTGTCCAGACTAGCCGTAGTCTTAATAAATGAAAGAGCAGGTTCAAAAGGGCTGAATGGTCTACTCCTCCTTCTCGGTGCTATGTAAGCAACTTTGTTTTTTCTTTATTCTTTCGTGGTACATAAGCATCACTGGCAAGGCCAGCATTTGTTATCCATCTCCAACTGCCCTTGAACTATGTGATTTCCTTGGCTGTTTCGGACGGCAGTTGTAGATACAAACATATTGCTGTGTGTCTGGAGTCACGTGGAGGTCAAATTAGGTAATGATGGCACACTTCCTTCCCAAAACGTCATTGGTGAACCAAATGGGTTTACAAATGAATCGTTGATAGCATCATAGTCACCATTACAGACAGTAGCTCTCAAATGTATATTTATTCATCAAATTTGAATTCCACCAACTGCCGTGGTGAGATGTGAACACACAATGCCAGACATTAGTCTGGACCTTGAGACTGCAGTCCAGTGTTAATGATAGGTACTCTCTTTACCCCTCCCTCACTCACCCTAACTTGTAACAATAAAAAAAAGGAGCATAATGTTTTTCATACTCCATTCTGGCACATTTCCGTATCCAAGGAGACTTAGAAGATCTTGGCCAAAACCTCCACAATTTCCATTCTCATTTCCCTCAGTCACTTGGGATGCATCCCATTCAGACCAGGTAACCTTTCTACATTAAGAACTGGCAACTAGAATTATTTCCCTTTAGCTTTTGTTTCCTCCCACCATCATCATTACCATCTCCTTTAATGCTACACTCGCAGTATCCTCTTTACTTGTTGACAGATCGAAATGACTAACTTCCCAGCTTTTTGCATAAGCATTTTATCGGTAAAACTTTGGATTACTCTTTTATGTTGACCAACAATTGATTCTCATTCTCTCTCCTTCTTAGCTCCTCTATTTTAAAATTTCTCCCTAAACTTACGATGTTCACCAAAACTTTGGTAATTAAGCACCTTCCCACTTTGACATCTATGCAGGCTTTGGTTTAGTCGATCATACCATTATCCTCCAACAGATTTTCTCCATTACTCAGCTCAGAGAGCTACACTTTTTGGTGTTATTCTTCTCTATCTGATCATACCCAGAATATCTTGACCAACAGCACCTCCTCCCAGCTTGCACAATTTCAATGACAGCCCTTCAAATTACAAGAGGCAACCCCACCCTACACCACAACCCTCACATCCATAATCTTACATCCCTCCCCTTGGAGGGAAAATTTACCACGAAACAATTCAGAATGCAGTATTAAAAAAGATCTTCCTCACTTTTGCCAGAATCATTTAGTTTATCCAAAGTTGAAACAGGATAACTAAAGTCTTCCATTATTTTAATACTGCTGTAAATATTTTACAATGTTACATTTCTTTCCTATTTGGAGGTATATTAAAATTGTAGTGTTATAGCACACAGGAAGGAACCTTTCCCCCTTGGTGAAGAAATCAATGACTGGCGGCATAGATTTAAGGTAAGGGGGAGGTGGTTTAGAGTGGCTGTCAGGAAAAAGTGTTTTCACCCAGAGGGTGGTGAGAATCTGGAATTCACTGCACACAAGGGTAGTCAATGCTGAAAGCCTCAAAATATTTAAGAAATATTTAGATGTGAGCTTGAGATGCCAAGCCATATGGGCCCAGTGCTAGGAAATGGGATTATAATAGTTAAGTGCTTGATTTTGACCAGCACAAACTTGACGGGCCAAAGGGCCTTTTTCTGTGCTGTAAACCTCTATGACTCCATGACAATGGAAATAGACAAACAGCAATCCAACATAAGAATAATTAGCCGGAGGCAAACTGACTTCCTCAGGGTACTGTGTTAGGCCCAACCCACATTCAGCTGGTTCATCACTGACCTTCCCTCTATTGCAAGATCAGAAGTGGGGATGATTGCACAACACTCAGCACTACTCACAACGTCCCAGATACTGAAGTAGTTCATGTGCAAATACAGCAAGACATGGGTGTTATCTTGACAATGGATTAACATATGGTAAGTGACATTCATGCCACAGAAATGACAAGCAATGACCATCTCCAACAGGAGAGAATCTGAACATCACCCCTTGACATTCAATGGCATTAGCTTCGCTGAATCGCCAACAATCAAAATTCCAGAGGTCACCACAAATCAAAAACTGAACTGGGTTGGCCATGTAAATACTGTGGATACAAGAATAGATCAAAAGAAAGGAGTCTTGCAATGTGTAATTCACCTCCTGACTCCCCAGAGCTTGACCACCTTTGACAAGACACAACTCTGGAATGTGATGCAATATACTCCATTTGCCTGGAATAGTGCAGCTCCAACAACACAAGAAGCTTGACACTACCAAGGACAAAGCAGCTCGCATAGTTGACCAAGAAAGAAAATGTGATATGTTATTATTTGTAAAATTGAGTTTGAACATGGATAGACCCATGTATAATTTTATGTTCGACTTCTGTTTCTATATTGTGTGCATTAAGAAGTGATGAATTTAGTTTCATTTTGAGTTCCAATAGTGCTGTCTGGAAATGTGTTTACACATATTTACCTGAGGCTTGAAGAAAGAAAAGCCTCCAGGTGAATACTTCAGTGCTTTAGAAAACAAAATGTAGGAGAGGGCAAAACGTCTGTCATGGGCAAC